ATTTATATATATATGACCTCCAAGCGCGCAAGAAATTTGCTGGCCTGCATTTTTGTTTTGGCTTATTCGTAACTGGTATGAAATTGATTTCTAAGTTAAACAAGTGAGTTTTAAACTTTTGTGCGGCCTTCGAACTTTGTCTTTTAAACTATTTTAAAATTTCTTGGTTGAGCGACATCGATATACTATTGAGGATAAATATCAGTGATGCAACGTAGTGAACAGGAAGAATGGCTAAGTCAAAGATTGACTCATAATTAAATGCTTTACCACAAAAAATTGTCGCTTTAAATACGCGTCCAGAATGCCCATTGTCATTAATCAAAAAGTTGCGGTAAATTGGCTTGTTACGAATATCTTACACGTGATTAATATTCAGAATTGAAACGGTGAAAAAAATAATTTTTCTAAAAAAAAAGCAAACGAAGGATGACCTATAAGAGGAGTGGTAGAGGAATTTAATGTATTAATTTGTTGTTAGCGTCATCCGCCATTGAGGCGTTTCCAGATCCTGTTTTATTTTTTGTAGTTATTTTCCAGCAATTTTTCAAAATTTGTTTGATTATTTAGTGATATTTTTCATAATCCAAAATTTTTAAATCTACTTTTCATCCAGTTCCTTTCTTGTGGGTGTTTTTTTTGTAAGATATTTCAGGGATACAAGCTTTTTCTTGCTTGTTTTTATAATGTCCAAAGTTTTAAATCTTTTTAGGATTTTCCGCAGTGTGATTTGCTAATTATTATGGGGACGTCTTTAGTTGTACAACCATTTGCTGGCATGGTTAATGAAGTAGGAAAAAATGTCCCGAGACTATTAATCAATTTGACTGAAGCGGGAAATAAAAGCGTATTTGAGGGTTTATTTGGTTCTCCAAGCCTACGTTACGGCCGTGAAGACAATTACAGGTTGAAGCTACGCTCCCAGTCCTTGTTCCCAATAATTACAGCTTACATTCCCAAATTCCTCTTCCAAATTTAACTTTTTTGAAGCGATTTAGAGACGTTTTTTGGAAAGGAACTTGCGACGACGGAGTAATGAAGTTAGCTGAATTGTTGGG